TCTGTCTTAAAAATGGTGAATTTAAAACGCGGAATAGTCAAAACAACCTCTACCCAAGATTTGGTGTCACATTACTCACGAACCACTAAGAATAAACTAAATACAAAGGTCTGAAAGAAATATAGCAGTTGTCTGTCTCGAAACAAGGAGGCAACAGTCTAAAAGAAAATAATGAGAAGAGACGCCGGGCCTGCGGACGCCTGCAAGGCTACCTCAGTCTCGTGATAATGAAAGCCTGCTCCTGAACTACTGCTGCTGCTACTCAAAACCTGGACCTGTGCAAAGATGCACAGAAGTGTAGCATCAGCACAACCGACCCCATGTGCTGGTAAGTGTCTAGCCTAACCCCGGCGAAGTAGTGACGAGGCTAGACTGGACACCACATAAACCTGTGCAGTTATAAATATATACAGCGGAAATCGAATACCAAGTAATTAATATCATGGGAGGGGAAACATGCTATGGGGAGTTACAATAATAACAATAATCCAGAGTGATAACTAAAAACAGCGTAGGTTCAAAAAGAATAAAGAATCAATACTCAAATACACACACATAGCCCCAACAATTGTTGCGGCGTGCAACCCGCTCCGTAATTACCATTGTTGCGGCGTGCAACCCGCTCCACAATATCATTGTTGCGGCGTGCAACCCGACCCATATCACTTATCATATATCATTGTTGCGGCGCGCAACCCGACCCATATCACTTATCATATATCATTGTTGCGGCGCGCAACCCGATCCTCATATATTATTGTTGCGGCGTGCAACCCGATCCTCAACATCATTTAACAGTCTGACTTCCCAAACAACAGTCACAATTAAGGGGCACAACATAAGCAAATATTTGACAAACATCCCGGCAAGGGAAAGAATCAACAACGCTTTCTCTTTCTTACTTTTCTTATCTTTTAATTCACTTTACTATTTTGAGCCAACGCTCCAAAGAATCAAGTCATTTCGTATACTTTCAAGATTCGTATCACAATTCGAGCCAATGCTCCCAGGAATCAAATGATCATATTACCGTTCACATGTTATTCACAACAACTAGAAATCCTCCAATAAACACGGAGTTCACAACCAAATCATGGTAATCACATTATAAGGACTCACGGTCATGCTAGACACCAATGTATAGATACTCGTCACCATGCCTATACATCGTACTCGATCACATAGCAATTAGCAACAAGATTCAACTCCTATTCCCTCAAGCTAGGGTTAACCCAAACACTTACCTCGAAGGTTTACGGCCAATTCAATCCTTAAGCAATGCCTTTCCTTTCGAATTTAGCTCCAATTCAATCGTATCTATACACAATTGATTTAATATCATCAATAATACTCAACAATCCAACCCAAATACCCAAATATAATCTTTCCAACATTCTGCCCAAAATTTGCAAAACCGACCCCGGGCCTGCTTGGTCAAAACACGAGGTTCAAACCAAAATAAATTCAAAATCATTGAATCAAGCCTCAAGATCATCATTTTCATTTCAAAATTCATGAACTTCCAACTTTAGACATTTAGGTCCGAAACACGTCAAACGACGTCCGATTTCGACCAAACTTTACAGAAAGCGCTTAACACATATTTAAGACTTGTACCGGGCGTCGGAACCAAAATACGAGCCCGATACCACAATCTTTTAATCAATTTTCATTTTCATTTTCCTTAATAATTTCAGAAAAACAATTTCACAGAAAAATTCATGTCTCGGGCTCTAGGCCACGGAAATTCGACTCCGGGCACATGCCCGAGTCCCATATTTTTCTATGGACCTTTCGAGACCGTCCAATCTCGGGTCCGGGTCCGTTTACCAAAAATGTTGACCGAAGTCAACCTTAAACATATTAATATCAAAATTCTTCAAATTTTTCATAGAATTCACATAATACAACATAAAAGCTTTCCGGCTACGCGCCCAGACTGCGCACGTAAATTGAGGCAAGTAAAAAAATGAGGTTTTAAAGGCCTCAGAAGCATGGAACAGATGAGGAAACAGGTGATGACCCCTTTGGGTCGTCACACATATGCATGGTCTTTGTGTATTTATCTGTAAGGTACACTAGACAAATGCATTCATGGTAGTCTAATTGTGACAATGAATTATGTATGTATAGGAAAAAATTGAGTTAGCTTTGAGCCAAAGCACCATAGACGAGTCTCAAATTTCTCCAAATGATGCTATTGGTAAGGTGCTAGAAAAAGAGCATTCTGGAAGTGTAAGGGTGAGGTGTTTGGGATTAGGACCTGTCTCCAGTAGAGTTTTTAAACAAGTAAGACCTTGTTTTGGTGGTACAAGTGCTTCAAGTAGTGAAGGTTCATGTTCGTCCCAATGTCAACAGAACCATAATCAAATGATGAATGCTTTGAAGGCATATATGATAATGAAAGAAGGGACAATACCTGAACAGTTTGCGGGATTCTTTGTTTCTCCTTCAACGGTTTCTCCTACAACAGTAAGTAAAGTTCTTCAATTTTTTCTTACTTATATTTGTCTGTTTGCAAAGATAGAGTAGGTTAGGTTAGTACTATTTTTGTAGAGCCTAGAGTTACTGCAATTTCTGATTTGGGCATGAATTTTTTTAAAATTAGGAGCATAATGCAATATAAAATTAAGCTTTTATTTGGTCATGTTTATTAATTGCTAGTGATTATTGGTTTTACTGACTTGTATACATTGCCAATACTTTTCCACTTCTCCAACAAAGTATATCTGCACAAACATTTCTTTTCTCAGCCCAGTAAAGAAAAGAAAGACTTCAATGTTACTCTATATTTGAGTTTAAAGTACAAAGGAAGCTTGAAGAGTTACACTTATTTACTTACAGTACTTAGTGAACCTAGAGTTCTTGCAATGTCCGATTCTTGCATGATTTTTATACATTGCTTTTTCTTTTTATGCAGTCAAGTGATGCGGGCAGTGGACCCCTTCCGCCCTTGGACCCAAGAAGATCATACAGTGATAGTAATTCTAGTGACGACCGTTGATTTCATTGTAATTGTCTTAGATAATTAATTGTGACAATATATTTGTGTGGTTGGAGCAGATGCTAGAATGTTGAAGTGATTTAATTTTTGAGTCTAATGATGCTACTTAATGTTGACAATTTAGTTTTAAATACTAATGATATTTTATGGTTTTACCATACGTTATTGATTTCTCTTAACTTTAAAATATTTTTTCTTTGCTTTGATTATGATTTACACCTTATTCGTTAATATATGAATCAAAATAATTCAATCAATTGCCGAGGTTATGACTACCATGAGCTTTAAATATAAGCTAATAAAAAAAACTTTTAAAATTATTTTGCGGAGGTTTCAAACTGCCGCAATTCGTAATTGAAAAATTATTCTAAGAAGATTTAATTTTAGATTTGCAGGGGTCAACCGCCGCAATTTACCCGCCGCTATGTATTTCTAGCGGTCAGAAAAAAACTGCCGCAAATTGATTGCGACGACTATTATTATGGGTGTTTTAACGACTGCCGCAACAACATATTGCGGGGGTTTTCAACCGCCGCAAACCTTAAAAATAACCCCCGCAATTAGGCTGTTTTTTTGTAGTGGTATTATCTTATTTTAAATATTCTAGAACGGACACCAATTCATTGGTAAGTGGCAACTTTACAGTAACGTTCTCAGCACTAATATGTTCCGAAAATTAAAGTCAGTAAAAAGACGAACTCAGTTACTTACTCCTTGTACAGTTTCATCATTATATCTCCATTCATAAAGTAGTAGTAGCATCCCAAATCCCAATTAGGCAATTCTTATAACTAGCACTTGGTAAAACTAGAGAGGAAACTAGTATAACGGACTATTATCCTATTACATAATACAATCCCTATTACATAATCAGTTTTAGAGGAAACATCTCTCTCTTTTTTCTTTTTCTGAATATATCCCAGTGAGTTAGTTTGCAACTATTAGAAGATTTTAAAAACTATAATAATAGATTTGGAGGGTGTTTGGATTTGCTTTTAAGTTGACCAAATCAGTTTATAAGCTCTTTTTAGCTTTTTTTTTTCCAGTATTTGACAAAGCCAAAAAGTACTTAAAATAAGTTAAAAACGGCTTAAAACAAGCCAAAAGCAATAAGATGGTCAACCCCAACTTATTGTATTTTGACTTAAATGCTGTTTTTGTTGAACAACCACTTTTTTAAAGCTAATCCAAACGGGCTCTGGTTGGGCGAGAGGCCAGCTAAAAGCCTAAAACTGATTAAGTATTTGCCAGGGAAATTTTTTGTGCCATGATATATAATTCAACTACTTTAGTAAAGATTGATTATGTTGAATTGCAGAAGTGGTCTATTCATCTTTATCAAGTTCAAAGGAATTAAAGTGAAATCTTAGATAAACTAATAATTCACATACTCTCAATGAATTTCGGGAAAAGCATGATGCCTTAGTTTTATACTCCACATCCGTTTCAATTTATGAACCTATTTTCTTTTTAGTCCGTGTCAAAAAGAATGATCTATTTCTATATTTGAAATTTTTTTACCTTTATGTAATGATTTATAGCCACACAAAATATATGTGCCTCATTTTACACCATAAGTTTTAAAGTTTTCTCTTTTTTTTTCTTTAAACTTCGTGGCTAGTATATGTCACATAAACCAAAACCAATGCCTAAATCTTACTATTAACATATAAAAATTATGAAATTCGTTCCTTGGAAAGAAAATGATCATCCCAATTGCATGGTACTGTTTCCCTGACAACAACAGCAGTGGATAAGTCCAAATACGAATTCAGAGGTACAATGGTGCTGCAAATTTCTAGGGTAGTAGTAGTACTACACAAAAAGGGATACACCAGATGTTCATTCCAGAGGACGTACTAAGTTCATGAGTCTGAAGGATTAATACTAAAAAACAAACGAATTTGAACGATGCACTGTAAGAGTTGGAACATCAGAATGTAACTCATGTAATAGCTAAAGCAAGCATTCAGCCACAAATTTTGTGAAGTTAAAGCAAATAAAACATCTTACACCATGCACGTTAATTAAACTTCAGCAAATTAAACATTCTTACGCTTAAACTTCAGCAAATTATACATTCTTACGCTTAAACTTCAGCAAATAAAGCATTCTTACACTACATCAACTAAACTTCTGCAAATTAAACCTTTAGCTAGTTGACACATCCCCTAACAATGACAGCATCAGCAACTTGAAATCATGGCTCAGGCGCACCTGGGAACTGCATTCATTCGAGAAAAATAGAAATGTTATAAGTACCATGGCCAATACCATTTTCACAATCCAAGGAACAATATCTAGAATGAATAAACTGAAGTTTCTCAAATACATCAGAGCAGAAAAAAACAACCTTTTAGAGCAGATAACCCAACAAAATAAATAGAGAAAGCAACCAACACATATACGGTACACTCAATAAATAAAAAGAATATCTATAATGAATAAATTGAAGTTTCTCAAATACATCAGAGTAGAGAAGAACAAGAGAACCCAACAAAATAAATAGAGCAAGCAACCAACAAACATACCGTATACAGTTATAAGCATGAAACAAAGGGTAGTAAGCAAGATTCTATATCTGCTACTAACCTTTTCACCAAAATTAAAAAAAAACATTCAACTTATTTCTCACCAAATAGCTAGGAGATGATATATAGTAAGGGACGAACGTGAGAATGGGTTTTTGATACATACCTGTGGGAGTTCCTGCTCAGGTGGGGCAACCTCCTCCTCAGGTGCTGAAGCCTTTATCCAATCTTTAACTAAATTAAAAGCTGAAAGAAGGAGAGAGATTCCGCTACCAATAGCCAAGACAAAGTACATAACAATCATAAATATTGGAAGGTGGATGGTTTTGGTCACATAATGCAAAACCAGGGGAACGATTCCACAACAGCTCACTAACCCAGATATGCCAATGCATACAGCGTGGAAGACAGGAATGTTGCCAAGTATATTGCAAATACCTGCCATTTTTTTTGACTTGGAAAGGAAGAAATATTTTAGAAGGAAAGACGGATATGTGACTGTAAGTAATGAAGAATATATAAAACAGAATCAGACGTTTGATACGTCGGGATTCGTGAATCGTCATTTTTTTTTTTAAATACGGAAAAAGGTTCAAAATGCTCCTAAATTATTGGAAAAGGTTTAAACATACCCTTCATCCACCTATTGGGCTAAAAATATCCCTCTATCCACCTTTTTGGTTGACTTATGCCCTTTGACCGTTAGGTCAATGCTGAATTAAAAATAATTACTTAAAAAAATATTTTGCAAAATATTTTTATTTTTTAAACTAATGCACCAATAGTCCTCCACTAATTTAGTAAAGTCTACTTCTTCTTTTTTCAGTTTTCACAAAAAAAAATTTTTTTTTCATTTTTTCAGTTTTTTTAAAGTATTTTTTTTTGTAAAAACAGAAAAAAATTTGTTATTAACAAAAATATTTTCATTTTCTAAAATCTAAAATAATATTTTCAAAAAAATATTTTCATTTCTGAAAAATATTTTTTCATTTTTTTTTGAAATTTCAGTTTTTAAAAAACAAAAATATTTTGTTAAAAAACGAAAATATTTTTTTCAGTTTTTACAAATTTGTTTTTCCAGTTTTTACAAAAAAAAATTCTTTAAAAAAATGAAAAAAAAATATTTTTCAAAAACAAAAATATTTTGTTGAAAATATATTTTTCAGTTTTTAAAAAACGAAAATATTTTATTAAGAACAATTTTTTCTATTTTTACAAAAAAAATTTCAGTTTTTACAGAAAAATGCTTTAAAACCCCCAAAAAAATGAAAAAAAAATATTTTTTTTGTAANTATTTTTTTTGTAAAAACTGAATTGTTTTTTGTAAAAACTGAAAAAAGAAGAAGAAGACTTTACTAAATTAGTGGACTACTAGTGCATTAGATTAAAAAAACAAAAATATTTTTTTAAGTAATTATTTTTAATTCAGCATTGACCTAATGGTCAAAGGGCATAAGTGAACCAAAAAGGTGGATGGAGGGGTATTTTTAGCCCAATAGGTGGATGAAGGGTATTTTTAAACCTTTTCCAATAGTTTAGGGGCATTTTGAACCCTTTTCCGTTTTAAATATTCCCCAATTATAAGTGAATTCTAGCCTTGGTCCTTGATTTGAATTAATTAAACTGTATTTTCAGTATATTTTTATGTTATATCTAGTCCAATTTTAGAACTATATTAGTATCTTATATACTATCGAGTAATAACATAAATTTTATGTAGGTATGTGATTAAACTTTAATCTCAATTAGTAATATTTCCGGTATGAATAATTTTTTTTTTATCGTAATATTCATTTGCTATGTATGCATGAATTTGAGTTTATATCATATTTATATTTGTTAAGGTTACATAAATTTGATAATCCAAGCATTTTAGACGGCCTTTTTTTTTTCCACGTGATTTATATTTATATCCTTTTCGTTTAATTTTTTTAATCATATAGGACTAATATTTCACTCTAATTACAGAACGTCGACATTAAAAGTCTATTCCAAATGTAGCTAAAATTTGTACGCACCTACTAGGCTACTACTTATACTGATTGTTGTCAAATGTGATCATTATCTTTATACTCTATAACCTGCCAATTTCATATGAATATTTTCGTGGAAGAGAGTGATATGTGAATCGAATTATATAGAATCAGGCGTTAGTTGTTACATGGGGAATCATGCACCATTCTTATAGTTCTTAATACAAAGAATCAAGCGTTCGATAAAAAGTAATATTTACATTATCATTCTTACATATTAATCCTCGCATTTCTAATTCCTATATTATAATTTATATATTTAAATTATTTCCCAACCAAACAATGTTAATATCAAGCCAATACTATTATGGAGGGTGATAATAGGTGAATTTAACTATAATTAGGCCCTAAAGAACCACCTTCTTGTATAGTTTTGATGATAAAAGTGATAACAAAATGCTCTGATTAGTGTTTTTCATGCTTTGCAGGTGATATATGACAAGAGAAGGCTATGGAGTACTTTTGGGATCAAATATGGAGAAAAAGAGTCCAATCGTAAAATTTTGCCAAGTGAACCAAGCGAAGCAGCTCAAGCCAGGCCTGAAGAAGGACTGTCGCGGTTCCACCGCGACCGCGGCACAACCGCGGTAGAAGACGGTCGCGGATAAGTTGAGATTCAGAGAAGGTGTGTGGCCGCGGTTTGACCGCGACCGCGGCAGAACCGCGGCAGAGGCGGAAAAGTTCAGGGACTTAAGTGCAAAACACGGGATTTTTAGCCCAAAACCCTATTTTAAATACTAGACTTCGCCCAAAGGAGGAAGGATTGTATTGGAGAATATTTTAGCAAGGAAAACAATTGTGAGAGATCACCCAAAACATCTTTCTTCTTTTCTTTGATTTTTCTTGCAAGTTTTATGATGAATATTGTTTTAGTTTGTTTACCCATAGTTATGAGTAGCTAAATCCTTTGTCTAAGGTTTTGATGGAACCTATTGGGGATGAACTTCTTGTTTATGTGAATACAAATTGCTAGTTCCAATCTCTATTTGTTCAACTATGTGTTTGTTGTAGTTAATTGACAGGATCCTCAATTAACCGTGCCTATTTAGTGTGCATAACTCGGGAGAGAGTGCATATTTAGGTAATTGTTGAACAACACCACTCCCAAAGTATATGAGGGATCAATAACCGAGGGTTTAAAGGCGGGATTAGGGATAGCGAAGCCTTGGGTGTAATCTAAAGTGAATTGTGTTAAATAAAGCAAGCTAGTGTATCTCGGGAGAGTGCAACTAGTAAATTACTGTGATTACTCGGGAGAGATTTACGGTAAGAAGAGCATTCATGATTGATAGAGATGTGTTGGTGAATTTGTAGGAAACATAAACAGAAGAAATTCCATCAATAGGGGAAATCATTACCTTAGCACTTTCTCATTATTGTTTACAGCTTAGCATCTTTAATTTGTAGCTATTAGTTACTGTTAATCTTAGTTATTAAAAACACCATCAACTGTGATTCTCAACGTTTGGAAATTGATTCTAAAGAGTTTAGTAGGTCTAATGATAGTGATTGATAAGTTAATTCTCTGTGGATTCGACTCTGGGCACAATACTCAGGTTATATTTGCAACGTCTGCATTGTCCTTTTTATAAGGCATAGTTGGGCGTGATCAAATTTTGGCGCCGTTGCCGGGGAATTAACGGAATTATCAATTACTATTGATAGAAATACAAAAATTCTTAGTGTGGTCAGTTTTCTCTCTACCCAATTTTTCATTGAAATTTTGACGGTTGTTGATCTGGTCACACAGGTGTATGCCTAGAAATTCTACGAGGACTGGAGAACTACTTGAAGGACTCTTAGACCCCGAGAAAACATTCGGGACATTGAACCGTGCCAACAAAAGACTTCAAAAATCCCAACAAACACACAAATTCGAAATTGACATGGGAGATGTAAACGACCCCAACGGAAACGTCAGGAATGAGCAAGTTGGCTTAAATGCCAGAGAACTGGCACCTCCTGTGCCTGAGGGTGCACTATATGACTGGGCAC